TTTTTTTTTTTTTTTTTTTCCATGCTTCTCAGTATTGTTAGAAAGAATTTTTTCCATCGTTTTTGTTCTGCAATGTTGCTCATAGATATTAAAAAGAAGTCTTAGATGTCATGTTAGATGCATGACTGTTTATATTTAATATGATGATATAGACAGTTTTCTCTTCTTTTATTTTAAAGATCAAATATGTAACCTTTCCCTCTTTTTTATTAAATGTTGACAAAAGATAGAAAAAATCATTGTTTTGGACATTACTTTTCAGATGATGAGTGATTCAACAAATATACTCTCACCTGGTAGGACAACCAGTGAATCTGTTGTAGCAGATGCATTATTGAGACATATTTCAGCTTCTAAAGGAAGGGTCATTACTACTCAATTTGCGTCAAATTTACATCGGCTTGGAAGTGTGAAAGCTGCTGCTGATTTAACTGGCAGAAAGTTGGTAAGGTTCTTCCTGTCTAGAAGACTTTAATGCAATTGGACTGGTCTTATTTAGAATGACAAAAATGTTAAGAGCTTTTAACTATTATATCAGGTATTTGTTGGCATGTCTTTAAGGACGTATTTAGATGCAGCTTGGAAGGATGGAAAGGCTCCAATTGATCCATCCACTCTGGTAATAAATGTTTGGACTTTACTGCAGAATTCTGCCCTAATTTGGAAGAGGTTGATTGGTGTACAATAGAAAAGTCTAGTGCTGATCAGCATGTTTTATCAAATAGGTTGTTAGCGGAAAGTCAGTGCAAGTAGGCAAATCTCCAGTTATGATTTTTGCCTATTTATTTTAAGAGGTTGGATAAACCTAATGCTGATCATCTTGATTAATTAATTTGGTTGTTTGAGGAAATTCATCGCAAGAAAATAAATCACCATTTCACCACTTATGAATTTTGCCTATTTATTTTTAACCTAGGGAGCCTTTATGTCACCTTGCCTCAAGTGGCTTTGACTACACTAATTTTGAGAGGTCCCACATTGTTATTTAAATACAGATGTTTTGTCTCTTATGAACTACTTGGCCCTCTTTCCTTTATCAGTGAATTCAAAACTCATCTTTCACCATATGCACTTTGTACTTTTAGAGTCAAGCATCTGCTTTCAAGAATCAAGACTAGTAGATTTTCATGTTAGATGGTGTGTTACAATTATAAATAGTATTATTCTTGGGCCTTGTTTTACTTTACCAGCTTGAATTTCATAGCCAAGTATTGTATATATATATATATATGTATATATATATATACCAATCTTTACATCTTTGTTAAAATTTCCAGGAAATATTCCTTCACTACTTTATTAACTTGCAAGCCAATAACTATGTTTTTGACTGTATTCATTTTCATGCTATTTGGATAATTACTGGTTGTTTAATTTGTTATTTGTGTGCCATTCGCCTTTCTAAATTTATATGAAAATTATTCATCTTTATCCTTGTATTTATAACAGCTTTTGTGAGTCTTATGTCTCTTGCCCTGCATTTCATTATATCTAATTACACACAAGGTGAAAGCAGAGGATATTGATGCTTATGCTCCAAAGGATCTGCTAATTGTAACCACAGGTTCTCAAGTAAGTTATTTTATGATTCTTAAAATGGTGCTAATTTCATGAATTATAAACATTGGACAGGCTTAAGACATATGACCATATATATTCTATTGTGTCAGGCAGAACCACGTGCTGCCTTGAACCTTGCATCTTACGGAAGTAGTCATGCTTTCAAACTAACCAAGGAAGATGTCGTTTTGTATTCAGCTAAGGTATGACACGATACCGAACCTGTTGCTAGTGAATTAATGTCAGTGTTTGAAACTTACAATATACTATTTTCACTCTCAATCTTTGAAGTACCGATATTTTAATTTGCTTCACGTATCCGTATTCAATACGATACTGTTGGATACTTCACCGATATGTATCAGTGAAGTATCTCAATCTTTAAAAATATTATGCAAATTTTATTGAATTCTGATACTCTCAAATACTTTACCGATACTTATTGATGATATGTATCAATAAAGTATCCAAATTTTTAAAAATTATAAAATATCCATTACAGTTAAATAAGACGTATAAACATGTTTAATAAGGAAACATAAAAACATTGATCCTTGATTAACTATAAATGAAAATTATCTTTTATATAGATAATTTTAAGAAAAAAATGAAATTGGTAATATTATTTCTATTTATTAATAATAAAAAGTAATTTATGATGAAATGATTTATAATTTATTTGTTTTTAGTAATGTACAATAAGTATGTTTTTAATTTGTATTTGAAAAATAGCAATTATATATTAAATGTTTATGAATTTTGATCAAAATTACAAGTACACATTAATTTATTTCAAGAATATTGATATATGATGACATGTATTGTATTTTGTATATTTTAAAATAATCGTATTGCCGTATACATGTATTGTATCAGTGCATCATAACTCTCAATCCATCTAGTAACAGTGTTGGATTTTTCTGCATGACCTTTCTCATGTGTCAATTTCTGATTTTTCTGCATTTATGATTCTCAATCCATCTAGTAACAGGGATAACAGCTTTCTATTTTTTTTTTATCAGCAAACCAGTTTGTGTTGTGTAATTTGTGCACTGATTTTAAATTAAAATGCTAGGTTATCCCTGGTAATGAGTCTCGTGTGATGGAAATGCTAAACCGCATATCAGAGATTGGATCAACGATAGTTATGGGAAAAAATGAAAATCTGCACACATCTGGTCATGCATATCGTGGAGAATTGGTAAATTTTTTATTGCATATCGATGTTTCTTTGTTTTTTTTTATATTCATTTTATCATTATTATTTTTATTTTATCATCTTTATCTAGTCTATTTTTTCAAGGTATATTGCAATTACCAAATCATTATTACTATTCTACTAATCAAGGAGTTTTTATAAATATTTTGAAAGAAACTGGACACAGTTACATCTTAATTTCACCTTTTGAAGTCTTCAATATTCTCATTATATCTTCTATTCCTGGATAGATATCCAGATTGTGAGATTTCACAAATCACATGAATTAGCAGGCCTAGTCAAACTAGTTCCTAGTTTTGATGTTTTTTCAGTTTACTCATTCATGTAATGAGTTTTCTAATATGATTTCCATATATTTTTTGTCTGATATAACAAGAGTAAAGGAAATATATATATATAAATATTTTTTACAGGAAGAAGTACTTAGAATAGTGAAGCCACAACATTTTCTTCCCATCCATGGAGAGCTTTTGTTCCTGAAGGAACATGAGTTACTTGGAAAATCAACTGGAATTCGGCACACTGCTGTGAGTCATTGCTTCTGTATCGGATGTTATATAATACAGAATATATTAGTGGCTTATAACAATGAGATTTTTATTAATATATCATATGACTTGTTATATAACTTGTTGAAGGAATTGATGAGCTTTATGCACCAGGTTATTAAGAATGGGGAGATGCTTGGTGTTTCACATTTGAGAAATAGAAGAATCCTTTCTAATGGTTTCATTTCCCTTGGAAAAGAGAATTTACAGGTTGGCAGCCCTCTGTATTCTGTTGGCCTCTTTTAGAAATTATTTAATAATTTCTTTTTGTTTCCTTTTTCATGCAGTTGAAATATAGTGATGGCGATAGAGCATTTGGTACATCTAGTGAACTCTTCATTGATGAAAGATTGAGAATCGCATTAGATGGCATCATTGTCATTAGGTAGATCTTTCATGTTTTAAAGTAAGTAAAAAAGAAGCATGTCATGTTTAGTGACATCTTAATATTTATCTTTTTCAGCATGGAAATATTTCGCCCTAAAATTTTAGATAGTTTGACTGAGAACACGTTAAAAGGGAAGATAAGGATTACCACAAGATGCTTATGGCTTGATAAAGGGAAGCTGATGGATGCACTCTACAAAGCTGCCCGTGCAGCTCTTTCAAGCTGCCCTGTAAAGAGTCCACTGGCTCACATCGAAAGAACTGTGTCTGAGGTATTGAGGAAGATGGTGAGGAAATACAGTGGTAAACGACCTGAAGTTATTGCCATTGCCATAGAAAACCCTTCAGGCATTCTTGCTGATGAGATGAACACAAAATTGTCTGGCAAAAAAGCCCATGTGGGTCTTGGAATATCATCAGTAAGAAAAGCAGTGGATGAGCATGAGAAGGGAAATCCGTCCACCACACTGCAAGCTAGAGGTAACATCAATGTACATTTGAGGAATACATATAGAACTGTGGAGATATGATTGGTTTGCTTTTGTGCATGTATTTGCGTGTTCTTGAATCCACTTTCTTACTGAGTTGAAGGGTTTGTCTTCTGGTGTAATATTTTTACACCTGTCTTTCACACTTATTCTTACACGTTCTATTATTTAATTCAGATGATAGTATTGATAATGCAAGTGTAGCTGAGCGTGATTTATCTGAGGGAGACAACTCTGCAAGTGGAGCTGAGGGTGATTTATCTCAGTCAGAGGAATCAGAAGAATTTTGGAAACCATTCGTTACATCGTTGCCAATTGAGGAGTCAATTGGTGCTGACAGTGGTTATGTTTCACAAAAGGAGCATAAATCCAATTTGAAGAAAGATGATTCTAAAGACATGGATGAAGCCAAGTATGAAGAAACATGTAATTCTGAACCCAAGTCTTCAAAATCAGTAAAGAGAAACAAATGGAAAACTGAAGAAATTAAGAAGCTGATTGGTATGCGTGGGGAACTACGTGACAGATTTCAAGTTGTGAAGGGAAGGATGGCCCTCTGGGAAGAGATATCTCAAAAATTGTTGGCTGATGGGATCAGCAGAAGTCCTGGACAATGCAAATCTCTGTGGACATCTTTGGCACTGAAATATGAGGTTTGTTCCTTCTTTGTCCACCAATTGTTCCTGCTTTTTATGATTAATGGCCACTGGTCATTTTGGTATATAAGGTATAAATGGGATGAAAAATTCATGTGTGTTAATACTGATTTATGAGATTTTCACCCACATACCAAAATTATCTCAATGCTTTGTTTGGTTCAAGAGAAATGATGAGAAATAAGTAGGACTGGTAAGAAATAGGTGGAAAATAGAAAAGTGAGCGTGTTTGGTAGAGAAGAAATGAGAGGAGAGAAATAAAAAATTGTGGAGTCCACCATTTTAATTTCCTAAATGAAACAAGGTAATATGGCAAGGAAATTGGCTTTGCTAAATTGCTTAAATTTTAATCGATTATGTATCAGTTTAATTGATTAAACTGTCCATTTATTCATTGATATCACAGCTTTTGTTTACATAATCTCTCTTTTTTTTTTTTTTTTTTTTATAATCAATCAAATCAAAAGATTTAATTGATTAAACAAAGGAAGAAATAGAATTTTTTCTTTCACTTGTCTCTCTCGATGTTGACTACATACCGAGAGTGAAACCGTTTCACTCTTAATATCCTGGTGTTATTATTATAGAAGGGGTCATGTTCAGCTTTGTGTACACTAGAACAGTGCAGCTTTGTGCACTGAACAAAATGATAATAAATTCATTTATGTGATGGCTACCATATCAACAAATAACTTATTTTGTATTTTAAGCAGGGGATCAAGAAAGAGAAGGATGGTGAGAAAAGTTGGCAGTATTTTGAGGACATGGAAAGGATAATGTCTGATAAAGAAATCCCTGCAGCAAAATGATTGGAAATATGATGGGCACTGGATAGGATAAGATATTTTGGAGAGCTCTCTACATTAAAATTGTTGATTAGTTTCATCACTTGCGGGACATTGAAGATCCATAGTTTTTTGAGGGGTGAGGGATAGATTATATTAAAGGGGTTGGCTTTCATATTAACACGGGAATATCTAGGTTTAGGGGACTATTTATTCCCCACCTCAAATACCTGTTCCCTTTTTTATTTTTATTTTTATTTATTACATTTGTCTAAATATATTGCATAATTATTTATTTTTGTTTGTGGCACATATCGGGTGCCTAAGCAACCATGGAAATGTCTACAGCATTTTGGCCATAAGCATTGAATAATGAAAAGAAAGCTTTGATGCTTTTACTTGCCAGTACCAACTTAAATTCCCAGGCTTATATATATATATATATTCATTTTGGTTCAGTATATAATACAAATAGAAAATAGGGGAAATTGTGTCAGACGACTCAAATGTTTTAGGAGTTTAGATAAATTTGTCGACCAGTATTTTTAAGAAAAGAATAAATAAAAAAATATAATTTTTTATAAGCTAAAATTAATTTATATATAAGTCAAAAATTAGTTTTTGAAAAAATTAATGTGAGAAAGTTTTTACAAATTAATTTATAGATAAATTAATTTTAGTTTATGATGAAGTTTATTTTTTCTTTCTCCTTGTTTATTTTTACTAGGGTGACAATTTAATTCATTTATTTATTCAATTCATTAATTATAATAAAAATAAATAATGAATTAGATTTAATTTATCCGTTTAATTTTGTGGATGGATAGTGATCTATCTATTGTTTTTTTTATATATATAAATTCATTGAATTATGATATGAGATTTATTGGATTGAGATTTTAAAAAGGTTATTTTAACATAAAAAAAAGTCTTGTGAGTTTTAAAAGATTATACAAGAATATAATGACTTATAAAAAAAAAAGAGAGAAATAAAATATTTTAAAAATAAAAATTATTTAATTTTTAAAACATTATTTTTATGGATGGATTGGATATTCATTCATGAAAAAAATTATTAATAGATAAATTGAATGAATATTTTGCTTTAAATGGATTGAATGAGATGAACCTTTATGTAAACTTTTAATGGATCAATAGATTATTTTCATCTGATCCATTATGATCTATTTAAAAAATTATCTGATTCATCCATTTATCACTTATAACTTTTACTAGAAATTATTATATAGAAATTTATTCAAAGAGATTTTAAAAGAACAAAAGTATTGTTTCTTTTAGACCTTTAGAGGGAAATGATTCTACTTCTACTAAAGAATCAGATTATTATTGTGGCAAGCATTGGAACATCTATGTTACTTAAACCATTTTGACTTGAATTAAACAAGTATGTTTTCATTGATTTTGTGGAAGTGGCCAAGTAGTAGAAAGGTGCAATTGACTATGGCAACAACTAGACATACATTGTTTATACTGAGTGATCCACATGTGAACCACTTATAATATGTTTGTATTATCATCAAATTACGTTGAACACCAAAGTTATGTTAGAAAGAAATTACGTTGAACGTGTTTTAGACTTCCGAAAATATAAGAAAATAAAACGTACTTACTCTACTAAATCACGATAGATAGCGTCTGGAAATAAAAAACAATAGAAAAAAGGGTTGTGACCAAAGTAATGTGTCACATTGGTGAGGTGGTAAGTTTTCTAATTTTAAAGTATTATGTTTGGTGGTACACGAATGAATCATAATTTAGAATTGTTGAATATATATGCAATAAAAAATTTAAATGTTTCCGAATACACAATCAAACATGCTTATAATATAAAATTTATCATTCATTATGATCTTGTCTAAAGGTCCCAAATCATATAAAATAAGAAATACAAAATTCAATGCACAACTCATGTAAAAAATTTTTTAATACCAATAGGGTACTTGACAAATAATTGACATAAGATAAAATTTTAAAAAAAAGTATCATAATACCGATAGGGTTTAATCAAATAATTAAAAACTAAGTTTTATTCTTGGAATAATTAAAATAAAATACTTATAGGTATCTAAAAAAATTACAAAAAATATACCAAATAATTAAAAAATAATAATTATTTAATCAAATTTTTAGGCTACATTGGGATAGCAACGAATGAGTGTTGAAATTATGGTTATCTACCATGGGCATCAAATAGCCTGGAATATGGGATTTAAAGATGTTATTTGTGAGTTTGATTTTTGGTTGGCTCTACAAATGATTTTAGGGGAGCATTCCCAATGACATCTTTATGGTTCTATCTTGAATAACATTAAACAATATATGTGTAGAAATTCAAATCTTGCCTTCAATCATATTTTGAGGGAAGAGAACCAATATGCAGATTGGTTAGCCTCATGGACCAAATGGGAGCTTTATCATCCAGCTTTGGTTTCAATGCTTGAAGCTGACATGTGTGCTGTAATCTTCACTAGAATGTAGTTTCTGTAGAATGATAAAAAAAAATTCATGAAACTTGATATCTCACCAATGAGACATTTTGAGTAACTACTTTACCTTAGAAGCATTTGTGACCAAATATTATTGGTAGACTTTAAAGTAGGCTTTGAAACAACAATAATAGTAGTAATAGTAGTAAATTAAATGTTTTATTATCTTAATTTTTGTTGCAATTTAATTTGATGTAATCTTTTTTAATTTTAACTTCTACTAAATATTTTATAAATTCCTCCAAGAAACAAAATATTTTAATAAAATCAATGGCTATATCAGGTTCAATAAATTTGACTTGACCTATAAGTTTAATACTAGTTAACAGTAAAACACTGATTTCTTTGTTCTATGGCCTACCCGTGTTGTTATTTACGTTTTTGTTTTTAATTTATAAATTTGAGTATTATGAATTAAAAAAAAAATAATAGTCTTATATTCTTGGTATAAAAAAATCATATTATTTACTATAAAAATCATTATTAATGTGATTTTTAAGGAAATCTACCATGTTCAAACTACTTGTAATGCAATCAAAAGGAAAAAAATCAAATGCTAAAAACCAATATCGAGAATATTTTTAACAATATAAAGAGGTTCAATATATCATGTCTTTTTTTTGGAATTTTTTTGTTAACTATTTAAACCAAAAAAAAAAAATTATAGTCAGGTTCTTAATTTTCTATCATTTTGTAATTGAATTTCTGGAATTAATTTATAGTGGCTCGAAATTTGTTAGAATTTTATTAATTCTAAGAATTCAATTTCAAGGAATTGTAGAAGATTAAGAATTAAGAATTTAATTATAATATTTTTATTTTAAAAATCTAATTAAAATTTCTCAAAGAAAAAAATTGAAAATTTTTCAGAAATAAATGGGCCAATAAGAGGAAAGTGTATGTAGATGGGCCGAGGCGGCCCAAAACGAGTCCTTTCTTTTTCTCCAAGCCAAGACATAGTGAAAAACAGTGCCTCTTTCAACTTTTCCTCATTGCTTGAGACTGAACCATTGAGATCTAACACTGCAATTGCTTCTTCTCCCAGAATCGGTGCGCCATGTTCTCAAATTTCGCGATTCTTTTTCTCTTCAATTCCTCCCCATTTCTATTTATCTATCTGTTTATTCATTTTCTTCTGAGTTTAAGGTTTAAGGTTTGTTTTCATTTAGGTCACTAATTCGCAACCATGAAGCTCGATACCACTGGTCTCGAATCGTTTCCCACACTGCTTGCTCCTCAAAACGACGTCGTTGGAGACCTCTCCGCCGCCCCCTCGTTCGACCTTCCTAATTCCAATGACGTGAGTACTCGTTTCTTCAACTCAGGTTTTGAATTTCACGATTACGAAAATCAGAAGAGAAGAAATTGGGGTTGAAATCTGTTTCTAAAATTGTGTGGGAATGAAAATAAGATGCTAGGGTTTAGTTTATTGTAGAGAAAGGTTAAAGCTTGATGTGGTTTTAACTGAAGTGTTTGTGGTGCTAGTTTGATGGCTTCTTGAAAGAGGCAATTCAGATGGTTAAGCCCGCGAAGGGTACTACAACTCTTGCTTTTATATTTAAGGAGGGTGTCATGGTGGCAGCTGATTCTCGAGCTAGCATGGGAGGATATATATGTGAGTGTTTGTTAAATTTAGTTCATTTTCACTGTTTTTTGTACCTTTGCAATGGCAGCGTTTTTGTGTTACTTGCTGCAAATTATTTTGTGAGCTTTATGTATTTGCGGTTGCATTTGTTCTTGAATTTTGAGTGTTGGCTGTCTCCAGCATCGCAGTCTGTGAAGAAAATTATTGAAATCAATCCGTATATGCTCGGGACGATGGCTGGAGGTGCTGCTGATTGTCAGTTTTGGCACAGGAACCTTGGGATCAAGGTAATCTATGCAACTTTCTATCTTGTATGGTTGCTTTTTTTTGTTAAGTTATCTTTAGCTTAGTGTCCTGCTTAATTGCTTGTTGCACCCTGGCCTCGAACACCTTGCTATCCCTTGCAATTATTGTTATTGGTGGTGTTGTTATGGTTTTGAGTATTTAAAATTTACCTCCTTTTTGAAGTATATTTATACTCATTGTCCTTGGGCAGTATTTGCCTGTGTTGTGAGGCAAAGTAAGGAGCGAAAGAAAGTGGATGGAATGGAAATGCAACTATGGGAGGGTAGTCGCAGTCTTGTTGGGAATGCCATTTAAATGGTGTGAATCAAATTGATAAGAAAAACAATTATCCGAACTCTAAATTTCTCTGAATCTTTTTCCTGTGCATGTAACTTGGAGAGATTAATTTATAGGGCACAATTGTGCAAGTTCAAAACGTTTTTCAATTTTGATTCCTGTCATATTTTCTACTTAGTTGTCCAATTATGGTGTAATATAGCTTTCACATCTAGTTTTCGTTTTACCTGTCAATAACTAGTATTCCTTCTACCTATATCAAATTAAATTTTGTTTCAATTTATAATAGACATGCTTGACCAGCATGTTTGAACATGTTTTGCAAACCTCAAGGGAGGCCACTGTATTTTATTCTTATATTAATGTATGCACATCGATGTGGATTCTTTCATTAATTTTCCTAGATAACATCTAGAATAGGTAGACTGGTACTAGGAATGTTACTTCATTGGTATTGGATTTTAGATTGGTTGGTTTTTAATAGGTTTCATGTTGATATCCACTCCACTTTCAGTTGAACTGTTATTCAATCCAGATTGACCACTTTGCATATCAAAATGATATATTGTTTGCTGTTGTGGGCCTGTTGATGAGGAGTAACTGATTCTTAATCAAGACAATGCTTGCTAAAACTACAGCAGGATAGTGTTGTGGTTAACATCAAAGTCCTTAATCACTGAATATGGGTTCCTTGCTTTTATTTTTTCATAATAATCATTTCGGTATATATT